GGGGGTCTTGAAATTTGCAGGCAAATGGATGGAACTAGAAGAAACCATTCTGAGTGAGGTAACCCAGTCACAAGAAGACAAAAATGGTATGTACTCATTCATATATGGATTTTAGACATAGAGCAAAGGAGTACCAGCCTAAAATCCACACGGCCAGAGAAGCTAGGAAACAAGGAGGGCCTAAGAGAAAAATACATGGTCTCCCGGAGAAGGGGAAAGGGACAAGATCTACTGAACTAATTGGAGCATGGAGGGAGGGGAGAGGGAGATAGGAGAATGAGAGGGGGATGAGGAGGGCAGGAGGGAGCAGGAAGGTTGAGTCAGGGGAAGAATAGAGGAGAGCAAGATAAGAGATACCATAATAGAGAGAGAGATTATAGGTTTAAAGAGAAATCAGGCACTAGGGAAATGTCTGGAGATCTACAAAGATGACACCAACTAACAATCTAATCAACAGAGGAGAGGCTACCTTAAATGCCCTCCCCTGATAATGAGGTTGATGATTGACTTATATACCATCCTAGAGCCTTCATCCAGTAACTGATGGAAGCAGAGGCAGACACCCACAGCAAAACACTGAGGGGAACTCTGGAATCCAGTTGCACAGAGGAAGGAGTGATGAGCAAAGAGGTCAAGACTAGGCTGAAGAATCCCACGGAAATAGCTGACCTGAACAAGGGGGAGCTCATGGACCCCAGACTGATAGCTGAGACACTAGTATAGGACTGTTCCAGACTCCCTGATAGAGAATGTCAGTTTGGAGGTCTGGGCAATCTATGAGGACCCTGGCAGTGGATCAGTATTTATCCCTATGATACAAATGGACTTTGGAAGCCCTCCCCACATGGAGGGATACTCTCTCAGCCTAGACACACTGGAGAGAGTCTAGACCCTGCTCCAAATTATATGACAGACTTTGAAGATTCCCCCATGGAAGACCACACCCTCCCTGGGGAGCAGAAAGGGGTTGGGATAAGGGATGGGGGGTCAGGGGAGGACGGGAGGAAAAGGGAATTGGAATTGCCATGTAAGAGAAGCTTGTTTCTAATTTTAAAAAAATTAAAAAAATTCAAAGTCAACAAAGCACCATACAGGAAACAGATATCTTGTGTATTTCCCATCTTTACATATACTACTTTACTCTCTCTTTAAAGATTTTACTATTTTAAACTATTTTTATCTATGACGTTCTATATCCATTTTCTTTTCTTTTTTTTTCAGTATCTAAGCAAATTTTTAAACATACTGTACTTTTTTACAAGTTTTCTGTGTCTGGACCCAGCTTTACTAAGTGCCTGCAGAATTCTCTGACTGCATGAGGTAAATCTTAAATTGTCATGTCAGCTGCAATGTGGCCCAGCTTAGCGCATGGCACTGGCACATGGCATTGACAGCTGATTCCAGAGGCAGTTGTCCATAGCTGCACCTCTGTCTGCTGCCTAGCACCAGCTGACAGAGAGACTAAAGGTCTAGGCATCCATATCCACCTCCTTGTCCAAAACTTTTCTGAGCTTTCTCAGACTCTATGTTTGGATATTCAAGCCCCACATTAGGTGCCATACACAGTTAAATTTTCTATGGGCCACCAGCTCTCTCCCAGATAATGACACAGTGACTGCTTATTAATTATGAAAGCTCAGCCTATAGCTTAGGGTTGTGCCTAACTAGCTCTTATAACTTATTAACCTATGTTTATGTTATTAACCTATGTTTAATCATGTGGTGTTACTTCTCCCCCATCTTGCACCTCCTGTTTCCTCTATGTGTCTCCTGGCATCTCCTGTGCACCTACATTCCTCCTCCTCTTCCTTTGTCTACCCAGAAATCCCACCTATACCTCCTGCCTAGCTATTGACCATGTAGCTTTTTATTACACAATCACAGCAACACACCTTCACACAACACACAAATATCCCCAAACACCCATCTGTGAACCACCTTGGAAAATCCAGTTTTACCAAAGACCCCTGTAAACCATTCCAGTTGAAACTCCCATCTTTGATATCTCATCTCACTCAGTAAACAAAGAGGTTATTCACCCACCATATCCCCACACTTTGGAGGCCCTGGCTTCCTTCAGGAAGAAGCATGCTAGTCAGTTTAGCCAACCTGTCCTCCACACATGATGTTCCTACTTAGTAATTATACATCTACAAACCACATACTCCTTGACTGTAAATTCTCACTTGTCAACTGATTTATTCAGAGTCAAGCCATTTCTCTCTTCCGTTATAGAACTGCATTGCTGCAATCCCCAAGAGTTTTCTTTACCATCCATTACCATAATGCACATGGAGGTGTCATGGGAACCCCAGTTTACATGATTAATGCAGAAAATCCCACAAATGCATACTTCTCCATAACTTAAAACCTGCAGGAATTTACCAAATATCGATTACTTGGAGCTTGTTTCCCTTCATATTTCAAAAGTAATTTTATTAATCTACTTTCAAAGAATTCAGATGTTTGTCTCCTGAATATCAGACTGCTCTTCATTTCTGTATTTTGGATTAAGTTTTTAGAAAGATATAGAAAAGAGTAGAATTTTAATATAAAATTTAGGATTTGTGCTATGAATCTTGCATTTCTACATCTTTTTCATGGTTCTTAAAAGGAAAGAGTGGTTCTATTTCCCTGAGTATGCCCTCCAATTCATCTAACACCAAATGCTGGATACATAAATGCCAAGAGTAAAACAGGAATGGGGGGGGAGTGAAGGAGGGTTCCTATCAGCATCTATCAGCTTAAACCAATATCTTTTCAAATTTGCTAAGAGGCATCAGCAAGATAGTTAGCTTGCCTGTATAAACATCTATTTTTAAATCAAAATCTGAGTCAACTGATAATGGCACCCATCTAAATTCATCAACGCATCAACCTTATTGAATGACTGAGGCATTTAGAAAAACAACTTTAAATTTGATTAAGTGTTCCCACTCATAAATTTTCTTACAGTATAATAAAACCATTTGAAACTATTTACCAGGATTCCCTGCCATGTGACTCTTACACTGAGTTAACAGTGTGCTGTGCAAATAAGGATTATTTTAATCTCACAGTGATGACATCAATTTTCCCCTAAGATATGTTATAAGATGATATGATTAGGGCCAGAAAGAAAAGCTTCAGGGAATCTGAAAACAAATGAATGATGAAATGGTTTTAGCTTATTATCCTTGAGTTGTCTCCAAAGCATATAAACCACCATGTAATAACTAATATCAGAGCTTCTAACAAGCATTTACTTTGCAACATTTGCCACATGTCAACGTCTATCACATCACTGGGCTCAATGAATCCTTTGGAGAAATACAACACTGTTCTTTTTATAAACTGAAATGTGAGCATCGCAGGTTAGTGTCCTGTCATCCTAAGGGAACCCCCCATCGCCTGTTCAAACACAATTTGCTTTCAGCTCCATGTTTTCTACATCCACTACTGATTGAGACACAGTCTGGGCTACATGACACACAGGGCTTCTCTTGTGCCCTCTGAAGCAAGTGTGGCTGCCAGACTGGCAGCCCTTACATCATCTGAGGAATTTCTACTCCAGAGCACCCAGAAACATATTTAGAAAGCTCTGCAGGTGACCACAATTCAGGAGAATGTTTGATACCTCCTGCTCTAGAGTAAAAGCATGTTATATTGCTATAAACAAAATTGTCTTTCAGGGCTACGGAAAGAGCGCAGAGCTGCCTGCCTGCAGGACAACTGTTTAGCCACTAACGTGACACCCCTGGATCACACCCAAAAGTTGTATTGGAGTAGTAAAATTTTATAGCACCCTGTGTTTCCAAGCCTAAGATGCTACTGTACCTAATGGAAAACATTGATGCTTTTTACAATGGTACCAATCTTTATTTAAAAAAAAAATTGTTAAAGTTTTACACTAAAGTATGTTTCAATTCTTATCAAAACATTGATGCAAAATTAGCTGAAAATTTGAGTTGCAAGCAAAACTGAAAGTGATTAACTAAAACTTCATACCATTACACAGCCAAAACTGGATGCCTTATCTGTCATAAATAGATTTATTAATCTCTATAATCAAAATGAAAGAACACTAAGCTGATTCAATTATTTTTTTTAGTGTTTCCTAGTCTGGAATGTGTGTCATCTATACATTCATATCTCTTAGACATGATGAGGAATGAATAACACAGGGAATAGATCCTGCTACACAAAGGCAAGCCACTGGGGATGTCCCAGAGAATGGATTAAAATGAGCTAGCTATATCTTCTATAGTAACCCAGTGTGGTTAGCATGCTAAAAAGAAAGCCTGGGGGGAAAAATGCTTGTTTTGTTTGTTTGTTTGTTTGTTTATTGTTTTTAATGTAGTATCAACCCCAGGGCTTCCCATTTGTGAAAGGAATAAATTTTATTAGAAAAATACACAGTAATTCCTACACAGAGATGTCATAAATACCAAGAGTAAAGTGGGGAGCAAAATATCATGCATTTTTTCTATCAAAAAATAAAGAAATCAGGTTTATTGTGCTATTCATATTGTTTCTTTTTTCTTAATTTCAATAGGATGATAACTTCCTTTTTATGATTTAATATATACATCATAAATGCAGGATTATAATCTGCCAGTTTTACTCAGTATTTTAATAAAGCCACAGTTGGGTAACTAAACAAAGTATAGGGAGTCCTGTATTATTATAGCAGAGCCCTCCCATTTGGAATGCTGGCTTTTTTATAAAGTTTTAAATTTTTAGGAAGAACAGCCATCACATAGCAGCACAGAGCGTCCATGAACCACGTTTCATGGATATCACTGCCATCGGTTCCTCTTCTCTTTGAAGGTCATCAGACAATGATGAACTAGCATTTACCAAGTGTTTGAAAATAAGAAACTAAAATACATGATTTCGTAGAATGCTTTGGATAAAATAAGTAAAAGAATTTTGGGGGAAAAGTAAACACACTATATCAATATGACAAAAGCATCCTATAAACTTACTCAGAGCAGAGAAAACCCAAATGTGATTAATACCTGTGACTGTGCGTTGATATTGGCTCCTTCTTTAACTAGAACTTTGACAACTTCCGCTTGTCCGGCCAGTGATGCAATGTGAAGAGCAGTATTTCCCTTCTGTTTTGATAAAACAGAAAGAATAAAAAACATTACAGTTTTCCAAATTGTGTAGAAACCAACATGTACAAGAATTTTCAAGTTCATTCATAGTTCAAATTATTAAAATCTGGTATTTTGTCAAGGTAAACATTCACTTTTATCAAGCCCACCTCGTAAAGGATTTGCTGACATCTAAAAGTTGGTAATCTCCTGCAGCATCTCACTTCACTGTCTTTTGTAATACTTAGTACCATGATGGGAACATCAGAGGACTAGATGTTAACAAAACCACAGCTTGTGGACATGTGTGCATGTGACAGTCCCTGTAGAATTCAAGGGATTTGGGGGTGGGGAATAGTACTATTGAAAAAAATACCAATGTCCTTGAAACATTGCTTATTTAACTGTGCAAAAGTAAGTAGGGAGGCTGAAGAAATGGCTCCATAGTTAACAGCATATGCACACAGACCCCATCACCCACATTAGGTTGTTTACAACCACTGTAATCGCAGCTCCACATATTGGATGTCCTGTTCTGTCCCCCTCAGGCACCTGTACATATGTGCAGATATGCACAAGATGCACGCGCACACACACACACACACACACACACACACACACACACAATTTATAAAACAAATCTTTCAAAAAATCAACTGGGGACTCTCAGTGAGTGGACAAACTTGTGCAAGAGTTATGTTTCTACCTACAAGGAAACATGTTTTTGATGAAAATATTTCAGAAATTAAAAAGTAAATTCTATATCAACCATAAATTACTTACGATTTCTACCACTTGCTACATCAAAATTTATGATAAGAGTCAACACAGATGAAAGAAAATGAAAATGTGATTAAGATAAATAATGAAAATAGAAAAATCAAAACAGAAACATAAATTTTTGAACCATAAAGTTTAATTCTATTTCTCTTTCTGATACCATATAATTGTAGACCCACCATCCACTAAGCATTTGTTGGACTCCATCTCATCTTATAAAACATTTTTTCTCCAGAAAATTCTACAGTTTTAATCTAGGCTTAAAAGTAAACCTCAAAAAAAAAAAAAAAGTAAATCTCTGCCAGGTGGTGGTAGCACACACCTTTAATCCCAGCACTTGGGAGGCAGGGGCAGGTGGATCGCTGTGAATCCCAGGCTAGCCTGGTCTACAGAGGGAGTTCCAGGACAGCCAGGACTACACAGAGAAACCCTGTCTCAAAAATCAAAACAACAACAACAAAAGTAAATCAGAACTGTGCATGGTGGAGCACACCTAAAATCCTTACACTAATGAGGGTGAGTCATGTACACCCAGAATCCCACAGCACCTGGATCCACAGTTGAGATCCTTGTTTCAAAAAGGCATGAGCAGAGGCAGAGGCAGGCGGATCTCTGTGAGTTCGAGACCAGCCTGGTCTACAAAAGCGAGTACCAGGACAGCCTCCAAAGCCACACAGAAACCTTGTCTCAAAAAACCAAAAAAAAAAAAAAAAAAAAAAAAAAGGACAAGAGCTGCAGGTTAGTGGTAGTGCAGCTTCCTGATGATGTAAGACCTTGGACTGATCACAAAAACTTCTTTCCCCACCACGAAACACACACACACACACACACACACACACACACACATGAAAAAGGAAGAGAAGGTAGTGGAGGGGAAGGAAGAAGAGAATAACCTATAATTTTAAAATACCAATAAGCTTTAGAAGGAAAAATAAGAGTAATAACAAACATTTAAGCAACCAAAAAGTGTTGGATTTAATGAACATGTTATGCTACCATGGACAATTCAAGGGAGGGAAATCCTTTGATCTATATTAAAATCAATATTCTAATAATTCTAGGAATTGAATTCATGTCCCAAAAGTTCTTTTACAGTAGAGCATAAAGGGTCTGATATATTCAAATCAAACAGAATGAATACTAGAAAAGTCACATCAATTTAACCACAGCATAAAAATGCTCTGCTCATTTCAATTGAGAAGACAGTCCTATCAGTTGAGTTGTTGGCTTGTTTTTAATAAATGGACTTTAGGAAAACAGATGCAAATGTCTACAGGGGATCATGCTGATCTAGGCTTCTTTGTGAATCCAAGGAGGAATGATAGTACATTAAGATCTAGATCTGGGCTTCCAGAATTCTTGAGTCTCACCTCTAAGTCCTAAAACAAAATGATCCAAATGCTGGAGGTTAAGGAAGAAGGTGTCAGTTATACTCCCGAGTGCTCAATAATCCCCAGAAAACTTGTGAATAACTGGAAAAGGCTTTCAACCTCTTCCTCTTCAAAAACTAAACAGATTACTATAAATTAAAAACAAACAAAAAAAACCCTCTTTCTCATTGTTAAGAAACAAATTCTATGGGCAGGAGCGGTACCTTAGTGGCAGAATCCACGGAGGACCCTCTTCCCAGCAGCTCCTGCACCAGGCCCACGTGGCCTTCCTTGGCTGCCAGATGGAGAGCATTGAGTCCATTCTGAGAGAAGAATAAGTGAGGCTTAGAAGCAGAGAAATGAAGAGGAGACAGTGTGCTAAACATACTCAAACAATCCAGAACAGATGCCGCTTGTGTCTTATCTCTACTTTCTTCATTTTATTTACTTACTTATTTATTTATTTATTTATTTATACATCTATTTATTTATTTATTGACTCTTTGTATTAACTGCAGTCTATTTCCCTCCAGAGAGATGAATTTCCAGAGATACAGGCACAATGGTAATTGTGCATTTTATTTATTTATACATCTATTTATTTATTTATTGACTTTTTGTATTAACTGCAGTCTATTTCCATCCAGAGAGATGAATTTCCAGAGATACAGGCACAATGGTAATTGTGCATTAGGAACAAGGTTTGGAGAACTTCGTTTCAACAAGCTTGCACTTCTTTAACTAAGAAGTATAAAAACATGGGGCTGGAAAGAGGCCTCTGTGGCAAGAGCACTCGCTGTGAAAGCATGAGGCTCTGAGTTCAGATCCCACTATCTCCAGCACACACATAGAAAGCTCGGTGTCCCATATCTGTTCCTAGCACCCACATGGTGGCTCACAAATGTCTGTAACTCCAGTTCCAGGGTTTCCAGAGTCTTCTTTTGACCTCTATGGGCAGCAGCCATACTTGTTGTGCACAGACATACACGCAGGCAAGACACCCACATGTATAAGATACTAAAATAATAGCTTAAATATAATATTTAAAAATCCATGCATTGCTACATATCATCTGGAACCTAACTACTCACAGGGGGCAGGATGAGATCCCTGAATAGCGGTGAGTCACCTAGCACCAGGTTCAGTGACAGACTGCCTCAAAAGAATAAGGCAGAGAGTGGTACAGTAAAACAGAGGATGTCCTTCCTGGGCCTCAGAATATACGCAAGCATGCACAGGACACAGTAGTCTGCACATATGCCACACTTACACACATATGTACACAGACACCAAGCATACACACACACATATACACACAAAGCATATAAGTGTTTTTCTAATGAGAAGATAAAGACAATAATTACTTATTATTTACTGTGCTAGCTAAAGTAAATAGACAATATTGAAGACACAGTTTTTCAATAAATGATAGAAAATCCCTTTTACAAAGTGATTAAAAGCCAAAGACCATGCTTAAAGTTGCATAACTCTGCAATGATATTATTACACTTAAATTTAGAAACCAA